CATGTGCTCAGTCCCATCACGGGGACTGAGCTCAGACGCACGCACGAGAAAGGTGGTAACTGCAGACTACAGGAAACCAGGGCGGGCACCCCTCTACTCCCACCTGTGTAAGTCAAACAGGCTGGGCCATGGTGGGGACAGGAGCTGTACGGGACAAAGGGATGTGAAAATGTTTCTGAGTATACAGAGGACTCAGCTTAGCTAAGGGGTCAGAGTTCCCTTTGCCATCATATTCTCACTTCCTTCTCAGAAAAAGGCAGCCAAGGGAGATCCACAGTCCCTCCTTTGCCCAACCCGAGGCCCGCCTCCTACAGGCTGGCCTCTAGTACTGCCACCACCTGACTGGTCACCTCTCACATTAACATCTGCACGTGAGATAAGGCTCAGGTAGGCCTGACACCTAGAGTGCAGCGTTCCTGGTGACCACTGTCCTGCAGAATAAGGAGGTGGGCCCACTGGTCACGTCCTGCACCCAGTGAGGGCTCACCAGGCATCACAGCAGGCATGCAAAGGAGATGTTATGCACCAGCCCTGGTGCTCCAGTGGGATGCCAGGGCTGTTCCTCACCGGTCTTAGGGTATTTATCAGGCAGTCTCTCACTTCACCCAGCCTCTGGAGGGAAGTGCTGCCTCGAGGGGCACAATGGGGAAGCCGAAAAAAAAACCAATGAGTGCTCACCCAGCACTAGTGACAACAGCCAAGCAGAAACAACCACGTGGCCATCGATGGGTGTCGGACATGTGGATCTCAGTCTATCTCTGTGATGCACTACGACTCAGCCATAAGAGGGAGTGTGTACTGACAGGTGTGACCACTGGAGGAACCTTGAAAATATCATGCTCAGCCCTAGCCAGTTTGGCTCGGTGGATAGAGCATCAGCCTGCGGACTGAAGGGTCCCAGGGTCAAGGGCACATGCCTGGGTTGCGGGCTCAATCCCCAATAAAGGGCATGATTCTCTCTCATCATTGATGTTTCTATCTCTCTCTATCCCTCTCCCTTCTTCTCTCCCTCTCCCTTCTTCTCTGAAATCAAGAAATAAAAAATAAACAATATCATGCTCAGTGAAAGAAGCCAATCACAAAGGACTACATGGTATGATTTCATTTATGTGAACTGTCCAGAACAGGCAAATCGACAGAGACAGAAAGCAGGTTAGGAGTTGTGGGTATAGAGGTTGACTTCCAATGGGGATGAGGTTTCTTTTGGGGATGATGAGAATGTATTAATACTGAGTGTGGTAATGGTTACTCAATGCTGTGCATATACTATGGGCCACTGAATTGTACACTTTAATAAGGGAATTGTCTCTCAATAAAGCTGTAAAAAACACATGCAGAAGGAATGTACATAAGACAAAGGACACATATGGGGATGAGCTGTAACCCTCAACACTGGCAGAATGCAGGGTCCAGTGCAGGCCTCCGGAGGAGCAGGTCTCCGATGAGACACAGAGGTCAAGGTGAAGGGTACCCCACTGTCCTCCAGTAGGAGGCAGGGGAACTTTGGGAGTCGTGAGAAGGCACACCTGGACCCCTGCCTGACCCTGGACTCGCCCAGCCCTGCAGCACTGCTTGTCTCCTTTTCACAGTCCCCGAGGAGCTGGAGGCAGAACTAGGTGTCCACACAGTAGCTCAGCTCATGGCCTAGTTTCCAGCATCATCAACGTGGTGTGCTGAGGGCTACAGCAGACTACCAGTGCTCACTTCTCCTGCAGGAGGTTCCTGCCTGTGTCTGCCCAAGGGACTGGTGCTGGGCAGCTTCTCAGCTGAAGGGGCCCGTTCTCATGTCAAACCCACAGGCACAGCTGCCAACAGCCTGACGACCAGGGCAGGGACTCCAGGCTACAGCAGCACCACTCAGCTTTTCTGGGTGGTCACTCAATGGCTCATGTGCTGACCCACCTCACTGGGCTCACCCACACAGATCCTGAGCCGCCTTTGAGCCCATGTGCCTTGTCTGAGGCTTGTGTTCTCAGGCAGCCAAGCAGGGAGTGACCGAAACTCCTGGAGCCTCTGGGACCCCCACCCAGAGAAGCCAGCTCATTGGCCTGGGTGCCGCTGGCAGAGGGCTGTAAAGGCTCAGTGGTCTTAGGGTCTGCAGTCACTGCTGCAAAAGCGGAAGGTGGAGAGGGGCACTGAAGGTGGTGGGAGGAAAGCGGCTAAGAGGCAGGGTGGGCCTGGCTGCCTGAGCTCAAACCCTGTCTTTGCTGTGAGAATGGGACCTTTATTCAGCCTACCTCGCTTTCCTTGTACAGAAGGAATAGTGGCAGTACCTGCCTCACAGGGCTGTGGCATGCAGGGAATACTCAGAAAACATCTATTATCATTCCCTACAGTTCCCCTTAAAAATGAACTTTAAAACTTTTCTATGACCTCTGTTCAGTAACAAACTGTATGTGGGGATACTCAGATGCAGGGACAGATGTGACAGCACTAACTAGAGGGGATGAAGAAGAGGGATAAAGGCTAAACCCTGCCCCCAACACAGGCCCTCAGGGGAGGGTCCATCAGAGGGTTAGAAACAGCCATGCAGCTTCTGTTTCCGGATGTGGCTCACTGCCCAGGATGTCCCTTGAGTGTGACAGAAAACCAGCTTCCTCTAGGGCCCCTGGGGAGTTCCTGGGAGCTCTCCCACAAGCTCCACTGAGGGGCTCCTGCTCGAAAGCCTATAACCCTCCTTCTGTCTGGGTGCTGGAGCAGGGGTACCTGTCCCATACAGGGCCGCTCTCACCACCAGAAAAACTATTTTGAGAAAGGAAACTGCTTAGTCAGGTAGCTGTAGAGGGACATAACCAAACCACCAGCAAGGTTTTTAAAAGGAAAGGCGGAGCCTTTAAATCCTCTTTGCTCATCTGTATACATGCCTTCAAAACACCGGGCCAGAAACTTCAGGAAAGTAAGAAGTAGAGACAGAACAGCTAGGAACACAAGCCAGCAGGAGAGCCAGGGAGTAGGTCTTTTTAAGGCACAAGCTGTAGAAGAGGCCCTTGTAGGACCAGCCCTAGAAATAGGAGAGGGGTGAGATTATGCTAAGAAAAGCAGGGGGGAGGGGCTTTATAAGAGATGTTTCACAACAATCCCGTGTAGTTCTGTATTCTGGAAACCACATTTTAAGAAACGATGTACTTGGATAAAAAAAGAAGAAATACAGTTTTGTGCAGACCAAGAGGCTGGAAACACTGTGGCCCGGGGCTGGGTGAGTGTCAGTGCCATGGGGACACCTCTAAAACGAGAAGCCTCACAGTTCTCTCAGTGATGGACTGAAAGACGCAGAACACACCTTCAAACACCCACTAGTATGTGCTTACAAGAGACAAGTGCTGTTCAGAAGCTACCCCTGTCAAAATGTCACCAGCAGCATGAAAAAGTCTGCAGGGCTCTCTGTGCTGCCTGGCATGGGGCGGGGGAAAGGAAGGGAAGGCTTTCTGGATCCTGACACTATCCCGGCCACCTCCCTGGGTGAGGAGCAGTCACACACTCACCCAGCAGTTCCAGCGACCACTTTGTCTCAAGAGCCTCCCAAGTCAGCTACCTTTGTTTGCAACTAGGGCCTCCTACCAGCCCCGTGCACCTCAGCCCAACCCTTGGAGTGAAAGCTCCGCCTCCTCAGCAGCTCTTCCAGCCACCAAGCCCTCTGGACCCGCTCCCCACCTGGCTGACTTCACTCGAGAGCTGCATTATTCAGTTACTTGGGAGATTCAGAGCGGACACTCTGATCTCAGCTCCCTCCCAACCAGGCTGGCAGCTCCAAGATGACTTGAGTGAAGCGCTCAGCTGGGAGGAGCCCACATCCTCAGGTTTCTGTTCCCCGGACCCTGCAGGAGGCCTCTGTAAGCCCTGGTGCAGGCAGCTGGAAACCCTGACAAGGTGCTTCGTGACTGCTCCCCTGTGGGCCGGCCTGCCTGGCTGATCGGTGATCGATGTGACCCAAGTTCTCCATCAGAAAGAAAGGAAGCAGCACCAGACTCCAAACAAGCCCCGCTCCTAACTTTAGGGAACTTCTCTCCTCAGCAAACTAGACAGCAGACAGCCGGTCCGAGAAACAGTTGACAGCAACAGCCACAGGCATTTATTTACAACCGCCCACTCCAGTCTCCGCGGGGCCGAATCCAAGCGCCGGGCGCAGAGGTCGCGCGGGTTGCCCTCTGAGCACCGGGGGAGGCCCAGAGGCCGTCAGCAGACCCCGGGACCCGGGACGCCGGACCCGGCAGGGTTGGCAGGTTGCCCACGCGTGCCGCCGGGGTGGTGGGAGGAGTGCCCAGGGCCTGCCGGAGCCGGCCCCAAGCCGATGAACCGGCCCGAGGGGAGGGGAGGCGCCGGTGTCGGAGGCCCCCGCTCCCACGCCCCTGGGCCCTCCCCCGCGCCCGGGGTCCCCTGGCGTTCTGCGGGGTCCTGTGGTGTATCCAAAACCTTCGGGTCG